AAAGTGTATAGTGGTTTCTATCCTCATGAGGTTCTCCACACTTTAGACCTTGTGCCAGATTAAACTAATCTTAGCTGAGAAAATACCTATAATAAAGACGAAATGAAGTCATGGATTCTATTTGACGATTGAGAATCCTGGAGTTGGGGAACCTATTTTCGTGAAAAAAAAAAAAAAAAATTAAGAGAAAAAATGAAAACAGCACTGGCTGCTCGGTCAATGAATGCCAAATGTTTCCTTAGAAGGAATACTTTTACCTGTCTTCTTCTAAGGAGAATAGTTGGTTCCGTTTTTAGGTTGGCACCACTTCGATGACTGGGAAAACACAATCTTTCTAACTCGACTTGACCCTCTACCTTACTAGGCTAAACTTAGTAAAAAAGAAATAATGAAAAAGTATATAATAAAAAAAAACACAAGGATGGTCCCCACCTACGTTCAGCTATTGTTCGATGGCGTATAGCAGTGTCGGCCAAAATTAAACAAGGTCTCAAATCTGGAGCACTTCAATTAATTAAATTACTAAATTAAGACGATAAACATGAAGTTGAAGGATTCCGGATTATAAAGTGCTACATCCGTAAAGGATTACGGATTATAAAGGACTACATCCGTCAAGGAATTCGGATAATAAAGTGCTACATCCGTCAATGCTTCCGGATTATAAAGTGCTACATCTGTCAAGGAATTCGGATTATAAAATGCTGCATCTGTCAAGGATTCCGGATTATAAAGTGCTACATCCGTCAAGGAATTCGGATTATAAAATGCTGCATCTGTCAAGAATTCCGGATTATAAACTGCTACATTTGTCAAGGATTCCGGGTTATAGTGCTTCATCCGTCAAGGAGTCCGGATTATAAAGTGCCACATCTGTCAAGGATTCCAGATTATAAATTGCTACATCCGTCAATTTTTCCGGATTATAAAGTGCTACATCTGTCAAGGATTCCGGATTATAAAATGCTACATCCTTCAAGGTTTCCGGATTATAAATGATACATCCGCCAGGGATTCCGGATTATAAACTGCTACATCTATCAAATTTTAGATGCCCTATCCTCAGAGGTCATACGCCAAATTTATATATATATTTTGTTAAAAAATGTCATATACATAAATATTAACAAAGACATCTACGTAACATTATTTTATAGGAAATTTTTAAACTGTTAATTATTTTTAGTTTCTCTAATCTTGACTATTTAATTATCAAAATCTCTAATCAACTACAAAAACAACAAAAATATACAAATTTTTATTCAGTAAAATAAAACGTGATTGCCAGCATTAATAAGGATAAATATAAAAGTGGTTGTCATGATCAGGTATACAGAATCATCCATTTGCAGGTGTGTGAGAAATGGGATTTTCACCGAGAAAAGAAATGACACAACCCTGAACCTGAGAAAGTCCTTGAGTCAGAAACATGCAAGATGTGGGATTTTTCAGTACAAACGTATAAGGAACTGAACCGGACATCTTGATGGAAGATCAAATAGAAAAAGAAGTGTTAATAATTGATACATCGCATCCTTTTGATTCAACAAAAAGAAATCAACTGTGAGTCATTGAACTTTGAACTTGGAAGGCTTTTGAAGTTGAAGAAAGTCGCAATCATAAAAGTTGTCATTGGTACGTTTGGTATAGTGACTAACAGAATAGAGACATGGATAAAGAAAATTGGTATTGACCGCCTACTAGAACTTCTGCAGAGAGAAAAACCTCTTCGGAACAGCAAGAATAATCCGGAAAGTAATGAACACTTAGAGACAAAGGAAAATTGCATACCTATGGCTGCCGGGCGTGACTCGGTATCCGTGCATTAATATATATATATATATATATATATATATATATATATATATATATAATCCGAATGACAAAACATCGCACTCAAGGTAATCTTCAGTATCTGTCTATATATATGAGCTCTGGTAAAAACATGGAATGATAACAGCAAAAATTGCAATATGAGCACTGGTAAAAAACGGTTGCTAAAGACATCAGGTTTATAATACCCAGAAATTCATACACCTCAAGGACACATGGCACAGTGGATAAAGGCGTTGGTTAGATCCAGTGACAGGACCCAAAGTGTGTGAGTTAAGGCAGTGGAGAACTTTCAGGGGGATATTAACAGGAGATAACTGATAACTGATAACTGACATCCATTAAACATGGCACGTGGAACTAGAACAGTCAACCCAAGTGAGCGAAAGAAAGGGTTTAGTTCGACATTCCAACCACCTGAAGAAGGCTGGAGCGTACAACGGCCGAAACGTTGTAATAAATATGGCGACATACATGAGGACAATAGTCCGAATAATGTAAATAATGCTTATATATCTTACGATAAATTTCTCTCCATGTAGATAAAAGAAATTTTAAAACAGTAATATTTTGTGAATTGTTCTTCAATTTATTTCTTCTTGGATCTGTAAACTTGCATATTTTTATTACTTAAATATCATTTTAAGTGGATAATCGTATTTGCGTAGTCACTCCGTTTATATATGAAACAGTATATTTATTTATTTTCACCTACCGGCCTGAATATTGGAGAAATCTAATAGAGAAAAATAATAAGTAGGCGAAAATAAATATACTGTTTAATATATAAACGAAGTAACAAAAATCCACCGCCCTTTCTTTAGAAATTGCTTTGTTTACTATTCAACTTTGTTTTATCATCGACGCCCTCTGTAACTGAGAAGTAAAAGCACATCAGATCTAATGATTATTTACTCTAGGGGAACGGAGATTCGAATCCTGCCGGAGTGTGCATATTTTTCACTAATAAGATTTCTCGAATATTCAAACTAGTAGATGAAAATAAATAAATATACAGTTTAATAAATAAACGGGGCGTCTATCCAAATACGAGTATCCCCTTAAATGACGTTTAAGTAGTAGAAATCTGCCGGTTAATGAATAAAAAATCCATCCAGTTTCTTTAGAAAATTATTTTACAAAAAAACAAAAAATTCTTAATTCTAAAAATTATTTTAAAATATTGTGCATTTTCCCACCAACAAACCCACAAAATACATGGCAACACACTTATTAGCACTTTAGCGAAAACGTACTGTGTCTTGACGTCTAAAATATGACCAGACATCAGATTTTTTTTGGAAGGACTTCAAGCCGAGGATTTTTCAGCATCAACCTTGTTTCAATGTTTGATAAAAAAAAAACCTTTATTTGGGATCATTTTGAAAAATTAAGCTAATCTATTTATTCCAGTGTCTGTCTATATTTCTAAGATCAGGTACACTATTTACATTATTCGGACTAATGTCCTCATCTTTGTCGCCATATTTATTACAACATTTCGGCCGTTGTACGCTCCGGCCCTCTTCAGGTAGTTGGAATGTCGAACTGAACACTTTATTTCGCTCACTGAGGTAGACTGTTCTAGTTCCCGGTGCCATGTTTAAATGGATGTCAGTTATCAGTCATCTCCCGTTAACTCCCATCTCCAAGTTCTCCACTGCCTTAACCGGGTATTGAACTCACACTCTTTGCCATGTGTTCTCAAGGACACATGGCACAGTGGATAAAGGCGTTAGTTAGATCCAATGACAGGATCCAAAGAGTGTGAGTTTCAATTAAAGGATCAAGCCCTGTTTCATCCTCAAGCTAAAATTTGGGAATCCAATAACCAATAACCCAATGTTCATTCGTAAAATTGTAATTTTACGAATCTATTTATAAATATGATTAAATATGCACTCTCGAATCTCCGTTCCCCTAGAGAAAATAATCATTAGATCTGATGTGTTTTTACTTTTCAGTTACAGAGTGCGTCGATGATAAAACAAAATTGAATAGTGCCTTTAAACACAGATCAATCTCTGGCTCTCGCGTAAATTTGAAGATTGGTTATTCCAAAAATTTCGCTTGAGGATGAAACAGGCCTTCATACTTTAATTCAGTTTAATTTTAATAATTATATTGAGGTTTTTGGCTCCTGTTTTTGAAACATGAGAACTCTTATGTAGCGAAGGAATCATATTTTTTAAAAATAATTATATATATATATATATATATGTGTGTGTGTGTGTGTGTGTGTGTGTGTGTGTGTGTGTGTGTGTGTGTGTGTGTGTGTGTGAAAATATATAGAAAATACGAAAGAACTCGTTAGGTAAATAATTCCAAGTTCTTTAGTATTTTTCTTATTATTTTTAAAAAACAGTTCTCCATAAAAAAGTAGAGCCTAAATATAATTATTTATTTAAAAATATGATTTCTTCGCTACATAAACTTCAATATAATTATTTGAATTAAATTGAATTAAAGAACCAAGCTCTGTTCCATCTTCAAGCGAAATTTTTGGAATAACTAATTCTTGAAATTTACGCGTTAATAATGAATATGCTTATAAAAACGCGAAAATTTCAAGAATTAGTCATTCCAAAAATTTCGCTTGATGATGGAACAGAGCTTGGTACTTTAATTTAATTAATTATATTGAAGTTTTCGGCTCTTGTTTTGAAACATGAGAACTCTTATGTAGCGAAGAAATCATATTTTTAAATGAATAATTATATATATATATATATATATATATATATATATATATATATATATAGGTTGGATGGGGTGCGGATCAATACTTGATATATTGATCTTCTTCAATCAGTGAAATATGATTTCGACTTAAAAGAGGTTTTCTTTCGTTTCGACTTCAAATTAACTTCACATACTTTTAAATGTCAATGGATACAAATGAACCGTTAGGCGACTATTGCAATACCAGAAATACGTTGTAGAGTAAACTTTATGGTTAAAAAAAAAATTTCCAAAATTTAATTTCTCGATTTTTAACTCAGTGATATAAAGAACCCCCTCCCCCCAAAAAAAACGGTGATATTTATGTCACTGTCAAACAGTAATATTTTATATTGCAGAGTTGAAGAAACTTTTTCTTAGGTGTGATTTTGTTTTTGTATGACATGGTTTTAAAAGTAACTTGTTCGTGTTATTTTCCCCATGACAGTTGTTAAGAAAGAAAGAAAAGAAAGAAAGAAAGAAAGAAAGAAAGAAAGAAAGAAAGAAAGAAAAATTGTTACCGGCTGAGCCACACCCTTCGGCCCAAATAGTCTAGTGTGGTAGATCATAGTAGTAGTAGTAGCATACCAAACAGTATAACAGTGTAGGGCGTTGTCCATTATTTCTTTGTAGTCTTGCTTTTCGCCTGCAACGTTCGTCAAGTCTTGTTCCATGCGCGGGAAATAAAAGGGAGTAATTAATATATATTGTATAGGAGAGAACGTTAATCTAGCGGATAAAAGTAATTGACTAATAATAATAATAATAATAATAATAATAATAATAATTATTATTATTATTATTATTATTATTATGCCAACAGGCAAAATAGAAGTCGGAATTTTCGGATACGCCTGTGGCCTTTCTCAACGAAAAAATATATATACATAAATACATACATATAAAGCATGCACAGATCTCTCTCTTTCTCTCTCTCTCCACACACACACACACACACACACACACACACACACACACACACATATATATATATATATATATATATATATATATATATATATATATAAATGGGATGCAAAAAAATAGATCTACAGTAAAAAACGTATTATATTGATTATTCAAACATATCAATATAATACTGGTATAATACTTATTGTATACCTAATTTTGCTGACACCTATAATAAAAATATATAAATATGAAGACAAAAAGAAAAAAAGAGTGAAAGAAATGGAGGATAAACTTTGTCTGTTTTAAAAGTCTGCTTATATAGTTGTCTGTCTGTTTGTTTCACTGTCTGTCTCCTCTCCTCAAAGTGTTTTTTTCCCCTTCCAGTGGTTTGTATTAGTTTCTGGTAGTTGTCAACTCCCTTTAGTCTTAGTTCTGTCTAGACAAGTATCACTGATTATCCGATGCTATTTTGTTCTTGTACGCTATTCTTTTGCCTGACACTTTTCAAATGTTTTTTCCTTCAGTTTTTTTTTCCATTCTCTCTTTTGCTAAAACAAAATATAAAATGATAAAATAAAATTATATTTTAATTAAATATTCTTCGTCCATTTTCTGAAATTCTTAGTCTCGGCTAGTTATTTTTTCTGCATTCATTTTTTTTTTTTACATTAAAAATGTTTTTTCAACATTTGATCGGTAAATCAAGCATTTGCCCTTGCATTGAGCATTTCTGCCATATATGGTCTGGAGCCCCCTCTGTTTACCTCGGGGTTCTTGATGAGATCCAGAGACGAATATGCAATGCAATTGGCCCTGATCTGGCATCTCGTCTGCAGTCGCTCTCTCACAGACGTGCCGTCGCCTCTCTCTGTCTTTTTTACAAACACTTTCATGGTAACTGCTCCGATGAGCTGCTTTCGCTGGTTCGCAGGCTTCATGAATTCAAGCGTCCTACGAGGCTGGTATCCCGCTTTCACCCTTTCACTATTGAAACTGTTAAATGTAGCCGTCTCTTCTACTCCAATAGCTTCATATCTCGCGCCTCTCGGCTGTGGAACTCCCTTCCCTTTTCCTGTTTCTCTGATAGCTATAATCTCCAACTATTCAAATGTAATGTCAATAGACATCTCCAGTTGTCGTGATCTATCCACTATCCTTCTCTTCATCCTTTCCTCTATCGCTTTTATCTGCTCTTGCTCCAAATCCTATGTAACCCCTTGCGTGCTAGTGGCTTCCAGCCTTGCTTGGGGTGAAATGCTTAAAAAATGTTCTGTATTATAAATTACTAGAATATTTTGGCAACACGCGTCAACACAGTCTTTAGTTTTGTTGTAGTTATTGCTAATATTATTGTTGAGATTTACAAACTCTACGTTTCGTTCAATTTCGCACACCAATCAATGAAATTTAAATAAGCTGATTTGTTTCGAAAAAGATTTGCCAAAGCAAAAGCCTCACTTCACGGTTTAATAACTTCTGTAATTTAATTTTGTAGGACTTCATGTTAAACAATATTTAAAAAAAAATTATTTTCCGTTTTAGCAGCAAAGAATAAATTCTTAGGATTTCATACTCTTGAGCATGCAACGTGCAACTGGCCATGCGTAAATAATTTTTCTGGAGCCAAATTCCAACTTTTTGATGCGTTTGGCCTTGTGGTTTGTTTATATTTCTCGCAAACGCAGGGCGAACTGGAAACTGGATTCTTGTATATAAAACTTATAGGAAGATATGCAAAAAAAAAAAAAAATAAATAAATAAATAAATACATTTTTATTAAATAAGTATTTGTTATTTTAATCATTAAATTGTTTTTAAAATAGTGGGAATATTTTGTATTCAATAAAATGTTGATGAAAATTTAATTTCTTGAAAATATACATTTTTGCCTAGGATGTCCAGACTTTCTAATTAAATACTATCTTAGTTTTATTGCATTTTTTAATTTTACAAATCACAGTAGATTTTCTCTAACTGGAGTTCCTGTTTGACCAACGAAAATTGATAATTTAAATTTTCCAAGGATATAACGAATATAAACATTAAGCAATACAAAAATGGATTTCTTGAAATATAAAATTAAAGAAGTGGGAGATAAAAGATGCAAATATATATATATATATATATATATATATATATATATATATATATATTATCAAGATTTTCTGAAAAAGAAACATTTAAAAATTTATTTAATTCATTTGTTAATAAGTCCTGAAAGTTTCATTAAAGTCCGACAATTATTTGATTTTTGCAAAAATTTCCAAATCAATGTGTTTTTCACCACAAAAAGGCGATAAAATTTCACATTTATGGTCAGCTGTTGAAAATAAAATTTTAAGCAAAGTTTTTAAGATCCTAATAGGATAAAAAATATAATTTAATGCTCAAAAAAATCCTTTTGTCTTTCCTCTTAATAATAATAAAGATTTTTACGATAAAACTACTTTATTAAGTTTGGGACGTTTTTTCATCTTGTATACTCATTTTTTAGCGAATTTTCGGAGGTATATATATCACATAATCCATTTTTCCTTACCTGTGATAATATATTCAAGGAACGGTTAGCTAGGATAATACATTCGTCATTACAACTGGGTTCACGCAACGGAAATTACTTTTGACTCAAATTAATAGTCATTCAAGTATTCTTGTTGCTAAGAGCAATTGTTAGTAATTTAGTATGATAGACTAGTAGCTTGTCTATTGACTTCGTTCTCCACGGTTGGCCGGCTGTTGTGATCGTATGTCTTATTATGATAAGCTTAAGTGTTGATAGATAGATATAAGGACTGAGATAGATAGATAGATAGATAGATAGATAGATAGATAGATAGAAATGAAAAGGACTGAGATAGATAGATAGATATGAAAAGGACTGATATATATATATATATATATATATATATATAGTGTAACCCGGATATAAGAGAGTTGTCGGGACCGGAGAAGAAGTCTCTTATATCCGGGTTTCTCTTATATCCGGGTTTGGTCTATTTTATATACTTTAACACAGGCTCTAATTTAGGACCAGAGAAAATCTCTCTTATATCCGGGTCTCTTATATCCGGGTTACACTGTATATATATATATATATGTTTTGAACAATAAAGAATATTAAAAAAAATAATAAATTAAAATCTCCAGACACACTGGGTTGTAGATCAATATTCTTTCGTTTTTTTATTATTATTTCATTTAGATTCCTATACTAGTTTCGGCCAACATGGCCATCTATCTATCTATCTATCTATCTATCTATCTATATATATATATATATATATATATATATATATATGTGTGTGTGTGTGTGTGTGTGTGTGTGTAGATAGATAGATATGAAGAAGACTTAGATAGATAGATAGATAGATAGATAGATAGATAGATAGATAGATCTGAATGGATGAAGCCGACAGATAGATATGAATAGATTTATAGAGATAGATATAGTCTGTCTGAAGTTATTATGCAAATCACTTAAACATCGATAACTTGAATTTGCTTTGAACAATTTTTGTCAAATTTTAAACGATTAATTTAGACGTCAAAACAAATCTTGGGTTAATTTTTTAGGTAGTTTCAATATATTTTATTAAAGTTTTCTTAGACTTTCTTGCATCTGATCCTTTCCAAAATATTTTACTTAATCAATATCGAACATATGATAGAATTTACTTACGAAATGGAAACAAACAATGCATTTGTTTCCTAGATAAGATGCTACACCGCGTTAGCAATAGCTTAAAACTTAGTGTCCATCGTAACAACAAAATGAAATCCGGAACTGGTTTCTATTTAAGAACACCTCAGAATTTACACGAAGAAGAAAAATACAATGAAAATACTTTTAAGCTCATCCAATAACCAAATTATTTCATATTCAAAGCGAAACAAAAAGCCCATAAAATATTTCAAAATTAAAAACGGTCTTCCCTGACAAACATAACGAATCAAAATATATTGTTTTACCCACTAAATCTATCACACATACAAGTGAAAAGAATTTAAACTCAACATAAAATTTGTACACAACTACGTCTAAAAGTATAAAATAATTAATCAATACACAAAATTAATAAACTAAAACTTGAAGGAGGAATTTACTCAATCACCCGTAATAATTGCCACTAGGAATACATTGGAGAAACCTCAAGGAATTTAAATAAATGAATATAAGAACACAAAAGTGATCTTTTACAAAACAACACATTAGATACATTGTTTGCTCACATTAACCAGACTGAGCAAAATTTTAGTTTTAAAAAATACTACTCTAATAAAAAGAGAAAACAATTTACTAAAATGTTTAGAAAATGCTTTAATCTACATCATCCACAGTAAATATGCATCTAAGGTTTTACAATGTTTCCCCATTATTGACAAATCTTCTGTTATTCCAATGGGGGATATTTAACCTTTAGCACACTACTTTATTCACTACTTTCCTTTCCACTACTTTGATTTTCAAGGCTCCTCTACTGCACTATTTAATTTCAGTCATGGTTATTTTCTGTTGCCAAAGCAGGATATGATAACACAACTGCAAAAATTGAAACACGCTATTATTCATTCATCTGAATCATTTGCAGTGGCAGGATAAAATTTTTGCTTTGCAAGCAAAGTCACCTCCAGTATGTTAAAGGTTAATAGAAAAGTTCATGGAAACATAAACGAAAAGAAAAATAATCTAAATAAAATCGATTATGTCATATACCTCCAAGCATATATTAAAAAAAAATGTTCAGTACCCCCTCCTCCATTTCCCTGGTGCATATGTGTAGTCGTATCAACGTAAACATCACTTTCGTATGATGAAGTCGTCATAAAGGACGAAATGTGTGACACGAAAACTTTTCCATTTTGGTCATACTTCTTCACCGTTATATATATATATATATATATATATATATATATATATATATAATCACGTTTGCACCAATGAATGCTTATATAAAAGTAAAACAAGAAATATAAACACGCAATTGCTGATATACCATAACGAGTGGACGGACTGATTGCTGGAGGTTCTGTCGACGAAACTGAAGCGTCTGGAGGCTGAAGGCAACACTAATCAGCTAAGTGAAAACGCTATATTTGTATTATATATATATATATATATATATATATATATATATATATATATATGTGTGTGTGTGTGTGTGTGTGTGTGTGTGTGTGTGTAGGTATTGCTTAATATAAATATATACAATTAATGATATACTAGTTAATAATATATACAGTTAATATAAATACAGTTAATAATATATACATTTAATAATATATACAGTTAATATAAATATATACAGTTAATAGGTATAGATAAGTTCAAAAATCTTATATTTCTAGTTTTGCGTATATAAAATTTATATATATTTTTAATAATTTCAATTCAAGCAAGGCAATAAAACTGCTAAGACAGGGGATTACTGAGTGTGAAATAATATAAGAAACAGGGAAATTTAGTAAAGAGAGGGAATTATAAAAGAACAGGAATTAGAAAGACAGAATTAATTTAAGAATGGCATAGTTATTAAGAGAAAAGAACTTAAACGTAAAGATATTTTGAATGTCGTTATCGAGTTATGCTAAAATGTTAACCTGCACCTTAGATTTTCTCAAATATATCATTTTCTAATAGAAATATTTTCAGCATACATCTGTAGAACATCATTTTTGTTCTCTTCTTCATCTGTGACGACACTGTCCAACATTCACTGCTAGATAGGAGGGCCGATATTACATAACACTTCAGTTTTCTTGTGCTATTACCGTTCCGGTTTAACTAACAAGACGCTTTTCTATAGCTGAGAGGTATAGCACGTCAGATCAAAAGACGTTTTCGTATAGGACACAGTTCGATTCCTGTTAGAGAACGCATATTTTCTCCGAAATTTTTCGAACATTCAGGCCAGTAAATGTAATTAATTAATACAAAAAAGAGACCACTTACTTCAATAAATTGTATCTATTAAAATAATATATAAACAGAAAATATATTAAAATATTTGCCGGATTTAGTCCATTTCATATATATATATATATATATATATATATATATATATATATATATATATATATATTTTTGAAACAAAATGGATATTTTTGTAGTGATTTTTTTGACATTTTTTATGTTATAATTTCGAATAAATGATTATATATATATATATATATATATATATATATATATATATATATATAAATATATAATATTCCATAATATTCCATGGTCATAATTTATTACATTGGAATGGTAATCACGATGCAATTCATTAGATCTACAAATTCAAAAATATAGGTACCTACAAAGAGAATCAATTGATGCCTTCCGAAAGTTAAGCAAAGTATTAAGAAAGAGGAAAATCACTTAACTGTTATGTAATATCGGTCCTCCTATATGGCAGTGAATGTTGGACAATCTCGTCACAGATGAAGAAGAGAACAAAAATGATGTTCTACATCTATATATATATATATGTGTGTGTGTGTGTGTGTGTGTGTGTGTGTGTATAGATAGATATAGATATATAAGTAAGTAAAAGGTTTGTCACTTGGCTGGTTGATGTCACCTTCAGCATCCCGACTCCAAAGTTTCGTAAACGGACCCGTCCGTTCACTCGTCAGGGGTATCACATATATATATATATGTGTGTGTGCGTGTATTAAATTGTACAGTATAATTAATATTACAAAGAAGTAGTCATACAAAGAATAAATTAAATTGAAGTCAACACAAGTCACAAGTCAACGTGACCAAAGGTTTGGGTGTATTGATCATGTTCAAAATATTGATAATGTTAGGTGATGAACTAAAACACTGCCATTGACTCTCCACTCGGTATAGCAGCTGTATAAACCACAGGTGGGATCCGTGATAGGATTTCTAATTCTTTCCTGTCCTAGGTATGACGATAAATTACATCAGCGTCCTGGGTAAGACAATAAACTACGTCCAACAGCAAGGCCTCTGATCAGGAGGTTTTGAGGAGCGTGGAACCACCTCTTAATTGCTAGTGTTCCCAGGTCCACCCTAACCTGGGCTGGTAGCACCTGTTAGGGGGTCACACCTATGGGCAAATAGTTAGCCACCAAATTGGGGTCAAAACACTATGAAAATGTAAATATAGGTTTTAGTACCAGAAATACTTTGTAAGAAATTATTATCAGCAATGAAGTTTTGAAGAAAAATTATTACCAGCAATACATTTTTGAAAAAAATTAGCAGCAATACATTTAAAAAAAAAAAAAAAAAAATTAGCAGCAATAAAAATGTTATCGGCATTAAGTAACCCATTGAATAAGTCCTGTAAGAACAAACATCCTTGTCACCTATTTTTGTGGATCTTGGATAATTTTATGTCCCTATTTTTGTGAAGCTTGGATAATTTTATGTCCCTATTCAGGCGATTTGCTCCACGTATGAATTTTGGGTTATTCTAATATCCTCCCTAAATAAAAAAAAGCTTACCTGGCAGTTCAAACAGTTCTTTGGGACGTATCTTTAAAAAAAATACGTATAATAAAACATAGTTTTCAATGTGTCGAACCCTGAAAATTTAAAGGTTAGTGTTTCGATTACAAAGGTTTAGCGGCTGAAGTTTTCGAACGATCAAAAATGAGATACATTCTCTATGTAGGTCGAATGATCGTTATCATCCCTGTATTATTTCAGTACATCAAACAACATTTGAGACTTTCTATTCGAAATGATCGTCTCATCTTTCTCGCGGCATAAGCAGAACATTTGGAAACGCGACACCAAGTGACAATTTTCTCAGTCAGTGGAACAACGTAAACAATATCTATGACACATCAATAGACAGCGCTTCGATAAGTAAGGTAAATCAATAGAGAGATAATACATGACCCACAAAAATTACCCTATCCCTTAACTCTTCTATCTTGGCAAGTGACAGCAAGAATTTATATTTCATGTATAGTGTAGGTATCAAATGTACTGTATGTGAATGATTGAGCACACACACACACACACACACACACACACACACACACACACACACACACACACACACACATATATATATATATATATATAATGATAAAAATATAGTTTTAAGGTATGCTATATTTATGAGCAAAAGTGTTCAATATCAGAGATAGAGCTCATGCCAATATAAAAGTTGACACTGAGATCAACGTTAGTTGGTGACAGTCTGTTCCATGATTCGTAACTGAACATTGTGTTCAAAATGAAACAGATCGTCACCACCCGGTGTTGATCTCAGTGCCCACTTATCAATAATATATATATATATATATATATATATATATATATATATATATATATATGCGCGTGTGTGTGTTAATTGCTGCAGTATAAAAAGAGAGAAGAGCAGTCATCGCAGTGGTAGTGGTGTTGGTTGTTATGGAGGTGGAGGCGAATGACACATTTTATCACTTATTTTATCTGTATTCTTTATTTTACTTACTTATTTATTAAAGATGCTTTCAGTTGGAGTAGTGGTTGACCCTGTCCGGTTGTCCGATATATTCAACTATTACTCTGCCCATCAGCCATATATATATATATATATATATATATATATATATATATATATATATATATATATATATATATATATATATATGTATGAAGAAATATACTGTTAAGGTGTGCTATATTTATGGGATAAAGTGCTCAATATCAGAGACAGAGCGGGTGTAAATATAAAAGTGAACATTGAAGTGAACACAGGCGACAGGCTGTTAGACGCAACTGCTGTTTTGAACAATAAAAAATATTAAAAAATAAAAATTGTCAGACACACTAGGTTGTATATTAGTATTTTTTCGCTTTATTATTTCAATTAGACTCCTTTTTTGTTGGTAGAACAGCTATATATATATATATATATATATATATATAAATTATATGTGGGTTTGTGTGCTTTGTGTGAGTGTGTTTGTATCACATACGCACTCAACAACCCTCCTCACACACACATATATATATGTGTGTGTGTGCGTGTATTAAATTGTACAGTATAATTAATATTACAAAGAAGTAGTCATACAAAGAATCAATGAGTAAAGTTAATGTAATTAATGGCGAATTCACTTCCCTAACAAATTTAATAAAGCATTAACCTACTAACCATTCGTTGAATGATGCGATCATTGTTTTTAAAAATTGTAAAATGTATTAGATGTTCCTTATGTTCCGTAGATATGCTAGTACTTTCGTCTTTATTTTCGTCTCGGAAGTTACTTGCATTTACCTGAAAAAGAAAAATAATGTCCATGTCTGATGATGATAATAAGAGTTATCGAAAGTACTTCCCAGATATTTAAACTGGTTTCATTCTATTGTTCCCGACCTTCAAATGGCATTCCGTGTCCATCCTTTGACATAAATTAGGGGATTATTTTATTTAAAAACCACAATTTTAATTTGAACATCCCTCGAAAACCCTATTAGGGAGGTTTAAAAATGAAATCTAAACAAAAAAAAATCTTTCTTTAAATAATTTGAAAATGTAAATTTTGTACATTCTTAGAAATATAAAGAAATGTAAAAACCCGAAATAGCTAAAACTATTAACTTTGACCATGACAAATAATGGTCATTATTGCTTAACATATAGTGTCAAATTACTCCATGTAAGAACCTTTAGAAGAAAAGGAAGGCCTCATTCTATAGAAGAAAAATTTGGCAATTAATTGATTGTGCTTTGCTTCAAATCCATAATCCGTTTGAGAAGCGTCTGTGGTTAACTTTACAGTTCGTTCAACACTGAGAATGTGAGATCAAATCTGGTAATTCCAGTTTTGTACCATCAGTAAGGCAAAAGCATTATGTAGTATATTTTTTCAATGTTGTCTTTTGGATTTCAGATGATTGTCACTTAATCCTTTGGATCATATTGAAAATATGCAATTGCTGGTTATGGAATAAATCCCTTTTTATTTCAAACCAGCTAATAGTGTATACTTCAATGATGAAATTAATCAGGCTATATATATATATATATATATATGTTTTGAATAATAAAAAATATTTTTTAAAATTAATATTTTCAGACACACTGGGTTGTATATTAATATTTTTTGTTTTATTATTTCAATTAAGTTCCTCGACTAGTTTCGGCCAGCATGGCCATCATCAGAAGAAAAAAATCCTGCTTGTTAGTAGCGGCGAACTACGGGAATGAATGACTTTCGGAAGAAAATGAACTTTATCTGTAGTTTTTATTTGTTTTATTTTTTATCGTTAATTTTAGTTAGTCCTTGTGTTGGTCGAATGGCCTCTTTTAAGTTGTTTTTAAGATAAAGGCTGGGGAGATTCATGTGACTCAGAATTCCCTTCTTGGACATTTTGACAGTTTTTTTTTGGTTGCTGGGAACAGGATGTGTGTGGGTCTGAAGTGTATGTTATCTCTTAGTTCTTTTGGAGTGTGTATGATGTGCATAAGTGTATATAATAATATGGGTGTGTGTATAAGTGTGAGACCTCAACACCTCCGCAAACATGTCTGTCTTGTGTCGGTGAGAAATGCGGGTAGGGCTTGATTTATGTGATTATATATTAATTCTATCTATGTTGTTAAATTTGTGGTTAACCCCGTCTGGACGAAGTGTTTTGAGGCGTAAATTCCATTTATCTTCATTTCCCTCTAGAATTTTTCTGATGTTATCTTTTCTGTCTATTTCTATTTTTTCAATTATAGTGAATTTGGCTTTTAAAATCATGTTTTTCTGGGTGGAAATGTTGTTCTGCAGGTAATAATCTTTCGTGGGGAGCCGACTTGATCCGATTACGAGAATTATTAATTCTGTAGTAAAAGGACCATTCAGATTTTCCCACATTTTTTCTGGTATAGTGTGCATTCCAATAGGCAAATTATTTTATGACTTCTACAGTTGGAATTGTGGTAGATTTTGAAAGTGAACGAATTGGTGTGTCTAATGCTGTTACAACATAAGCTGCTTTTGTTGTTACATGGTTGGGAAAATCCTGTTGTTTTATCCTGTTTCATATTATATATATATATATATATATATATATATATATATATATATATATATATATATATTCACCTTCATCCCTGCTATGTGCTACCGGATTAGTGGTAGAGTCTCCGACTGACGCCAATATATCCTAGCTAGAGGCAACTAGATGTCTAGCCACACCAATGAGCTTTGATACAGTCTGTCTGTGGATGAAAATGTATACGCTCCTGAAAAATTTATTTCGGTTGAGCTCTCTGGGTAGAAAGTGTGAGTTTGTAAACAGTGACTATTACTGCTAATAATGCAAGACTTTTCGGTAAAGCGAATCGTGTTCTCTCAGTCACTGTGTATTTATGTAAAAATAAATACGCTTAAATTCACCTTCATCCTTGTTGTGCGCCAATGGCTTAGGGGTAGAAACTACGACTAACGCCAATTAAGTCGGGTTTCGATCCTAGCTAGAGGCAACCGAACGTGTAGACACACTGATGCGTTGTGATGCACCAAATCAGTCTGTCTCTGGATGACAATATATATATATATATATATATATATATATATATATATATATATATATATATATATATATATATGTAATGAAAGTCCGACAATTATTTGAATATATTTTGTTATACGTTATTTATATAGACACAGATATTTAAGTAAACGCTCTGTTTGTAATAAACAGTATTAACAACATTTAACGGCTGGAACGTTCGAGAAATCTCATAGAAGATATGCGCATATTTGTATGGGACAAGAGGCAGAGGAGGAAGTACTGCGATGCTGTGCCATTAGGCCCATGCCGGACTTTCGGCTGCAGCTACTGCAACGGAATATGCCCGTCCCGCATTGGACTTATTAGTCACAAACCTGCCTGCAAGCGAGGTGTACAGACTCCCTCGGGATCTTCGTTTTGCGAAACCAAGCCATGATATATATATATATATATATATATATATATATATATATATATGTGTGTGTGTGTGTGTGTGTGTGTGTGCAAAAATTTAATATATAACTAACATCTTTTCAAGGACAGTATGAAAAATATAAGTAAAGACACAAGAAAAAATAGCTTAGCCGATGCATTCCGTTCTTTGATGATCTTTGTCAAGGCAAGTGTAAGGATTTTATCTTGCAACAAGTATTTATAAACAGAAGTAAAAATGTCTGTTTTTAAAATAAAAGAGTTTTAAATTTAAGAGATGCTAATAAATATTCATCAGGTTAACTGAAAAGTTTAGATAAATTATGGAAGATGCTAATTGACGTCATTTAATGTCTAGTAAAAAATATAAGTGTGTAAATATTGTTGATTTTTTTTTAATAATGTAAATATTATTTGTATTATTTATTTTGGGATTAATTCGTGTATTATTTGATTTAAATAATAGAAGGTTATGAATTTAACCATTTTCTGATAATTTTTAATATTTTCATAGTTATGTACTTTGGCTGGAGAAAAGTGTATTTTTTCAGGAATGGACACACACACACACAAACACACACATATATTATAATAATTTTCTTTCTTAAAAATATGATTACATCGCGACACAAAAATTGCTATGTTTCAAAACTGAAACTAAAGTTGTAAATTTAATTATAAAAATTAAACTTAAAATCCAGAGTTTCATTGTCATTTTAAGGTGTTTTAAGGTTAATTTTTATGATTAAATTTACAACTTTAGTTTCAGTTTTGAAACATAGCAATTTTTGTGTCGCGATGGAATCATATTTCTAAAAAAGAAAATTATTAAATATTATGATCTACTGTTTGTATAGAGCACTGTTTTTTTAAAATAAAAATAATTGCTAAGAACACCGGATTATAAATCTTACTGTTCTTTGTTATTATTTTTAATATATATATATATATATATATATATA